AACTGTCTGCCAAAATACTTGTAAAGGAATCAGTGTTGTGAAAGGCAACCAAAATACAAGCTGGGCAGTAACATAAGTAAAGAGCTGAAAGTGGGAGACGTCCTTCACCTACGGTAAGGTACATCAGTTAACCCTTGACAGTTCCTGGTAGAGATCGATTGTTGTGGCAATATGTCTAACAGTGGATGAAGACACTAAGTAAGTTTAACATTTTACATATTAAACAACTTTCACCTTTCGCAATAATACTTCCAAATATAAGAAGAATTACTATGTTAAATGAAGGCTTGTAATATACAGCAATATAAATACACCAAAAACAATGATGGGTCTTTTTTTCAAACCCAGAAGAAATATACCAACTACAACAGTTGGTAAAATGAGAAATAATGAACATAGATGTCTTTGTATTTGATTAAATGATTGATTGAATTGATACATATTTGTTATTGGTTAACAATGAGGAATACTCTGTTTTCTCTCAAAATGTTTGAGTTGATTTCAAAAAGGCGCGTATAAATAATACCATAGTAGTTATTGTGACGTTGTATATTGTCCGTATACAATTGCAAAATTTCTATTCAGTGGTGAGCACAAGGTAACTTTTGGTAACACCTATGAACGTTTGCTCGTTTTTATATGAAATTGATTCTTCAGGAGGTCGCACAAAAATCATAAAGCAAACTGAAATATGTGTCAATAGCAATGATTTGACACAAAAGAAACAATTATCGTTCCCATGACATATGATTGTGATGACACGAGCAAAAACGAGCTTCACCATATTAGGATGTAATAGGGACGAGTTCGCTGATCTTTTTGGCACATACTCAGCCTTAAAATGCTCTTTTTTTGCACCACAGGAAAACACCAATTTTGCGTTGAATAGCAAGTCAAAATATTTGTTGTGACGTCACATTGGGTGATGTTATACATAACAAATACACCACTGCATAACAGCATGTCTTTGTGATAAATAGGCTATATCACACGGGCGTTCCTTTAACGTTACATGGTACATGTGTTCATTACACATATTGCTACCCCGGTATATTTCACAGGGGCTCCATATGTTCATTCACGCAATAAACGAGCGCAATCTGAGACGTCAGGTTAACACATATGTTTGGTATTGCTTTAATTACGTTCCTTTAATATGCACAAACGACTCATCATTATCACGTATTCAGTTTGTTTTCCGTAAACATTGAATTAGCGACAACGTTAAACAAAACGAATGTCGCTAAAGTATTCGAAACTAATTTCTTTTTTTCATTTGATCGATTTTATCAGTAGATAACTGCTCAGGAATTCCAGCCAATAAAACAGAGTTCTGGTTATTTGGATACTTCAACATATTGTATTACCACAGTGTGAAAACCATCACCTTGTAATGCATGGCCTGAAAACTGGTTGTTTCACTATAGTGATATAAGATCCATCAGGTATGTGATGAAAATAGAAGGTCTTACTTCTCAGAGGGTCTTTTTATATTTTGTATACTCTCAGTTACATGCAATTTAACTTCGCTTTCAACCCTGGTATTTAATATGACGACACACTTTAAAAATAAATTTCACAGATATGTGGATAAACTGTGACACAAGGTGCCTTTCACGCAACCATTACGGTCCATTTGTGTACACGGTATTAGGAGTATATCAGATTAAGAGAGCAAAAAATTTACGCTACCGAGATGTTTAGCATTGGCGTCATAAACAAATCGTTCTGATCGAAAATATTTATTTCACTTAAGGAGAAAGCTATGTCTGATGCCTAACATGAAAAAAAACGTGTTTATATTAAAAAGGGAAGAGAAAATACTCAGTTTAGAAAGAGAAAGTACTCGGTTTAGAATACGTGAACTAGCTTTAGCATAAGTTAGATTAAGAAGGGAAGAGAAAGTACTCAGTTTAGAATACGTGAACAAGCTTTAGCATAAGTTAGACTAAGAAGGGAAGAGAGAGTACTCGGTTTAGAATAAGTGACCTAGCTTTAGCATAAGTTAGATTAAGAAGGGAAGAGAAAGTACTCAGTTTAGAATACGTGACCTAGCTTTAGCATAAGTTAGATTAAGAAGGGAAGAGAGAGTACTCCGTTTAGAATACGTGAACTAGCTTTAGCATAAGTTAGATTAAGAAGTGAAGAGAAAGTACTCGGTTAAGAATACGTGAACTAGCTTTAGCGTAAGTTAGATTAAGAAGGGAAGAGAAAGTACTCGGTTTAGAATACGTGAACTAGCTTTAGCATAAGTTAGATTAAGAAGAGAAGAGAGAGTACTCCGTTTAGAATACGTGAACTAGCTTTAGCATAAGTGAGATTAAGAAGGGAAGAGAAAGTACTCGGTTAAGAATACGTGAACTAGCTTTAGCGTAAGTTAGATTAAGAAGGGAAGAGAAAGTACTCAGTTTAGAATACGTGAACTAGCTTTAGCATAAGTTAGATTAAGAAGGGAAGAGAAAGTACTCGGTTTAGAATACGTGAACTAGCTTTAGCATAAGTTAGATTAAGAAGAGAAGAGAGAGTACTCCGTTTAGAATACGTGAACTAGCTTTAGCATAAGTGAGATTAAGAAGGGAAGAGAAAGTACTCGGTTAAGAATACGTGAACTAGCTTTAGCGTAAGTTAGATTAAGAAGGGAAGAGAAAGTACTCAGTTTAGAATACGTGAACTAGCTTTAGCATAAGTTAGATTAAGAAGGGAAGAGAAAGTACTCGGTTTAGAATACGTGAACTAGCTTTAGCATAAGTTAGATTAAGAAGAGAAGAGAGAGTACTCCGTTTAGAATACGTGAACTAGCTTTAGCATAAGTTAGATTAAGAAGGGAAGAGAAAGTACTCGGTTAAGAATACGTGAACTAGCTTTAGCGTAAGTTAGATTAAGAAGGGAAGAGAAAGTACTCAGTTTAGAATACGTGAACTAGCTTTAGCATAAGTTAGATTAAGAAGGGAAGAGAAAGTACTCGGTTTAGAATACGTGAACTAGCTTTAGCATAAGTTAGATTAAGAAGGGAAGAGAGAGTACTCCGTTTAGAATACGTGAACTAGCTTTAGCATAAGTGAGATTAAGAAGTGAAGAGAAAGTACTCGGTTAAGAATACGTGAACTAGCTTTAGCGTAAGTTAGATTAAGAAGGGAAGAGAAAGTACTCAGTTTAGAATACGTGAACTAGCTTTAGCATAAGTTAGATTAAGAAGGGAAGAGAAAGTACTCGGTTTAGAATACGTGAACTAGCTTTAGCATAAGTTAGATTAAGAAGAGAAGAGAGAGTACTCCGTTTAGAATACGTGAACTAGCTTTAGCATAAGTGAGATTAAGAAGGGAAGAGAAAGTACTCGGTTAAGAATACGTGAACTAGCTTTAGCGTAAGTTAGATTAAGAAGGGAAGAGAAAGTACTCAGTTTAGAATACGTGAACTAGCTTTAGCATAAGTTAGATTAAGAAGGGAAGAGAAAGTACTCGGTTTAGAATACGTGAACTAGCTTTAGCATAAGTTAGATTAAGAAGGGAAGAGAAAGTACTCGGTTTAGAATACGTGAACTAGCTTTAGCATAAGTTAGATTAAGAAGGGAAGAAAAAGTACTCGGTTTAGAATACGTGAACTAGCTTTAGCATAAGTTAGATTAAGAAGGGAAGAGAAAGTACTCGGTTTAGAATACATGAACTAGCTTTAGCGTAAGTTAGATTAAGAAGGGAACAGAAAGTACTCGGTTTAGAATACGCGAACTAGCTTTAGCATAAGAAAACGAAGGAAAGCTTATCGGAATAAGTTTAGCCTAGAAATGGAAGATAAAGTGAAGGTTTGGTCTAAGAGGGGATACACTTTGGACTTTTAAACTCTTGGTTTAGCGTAGGAAAGACACATTGGACTATTTTTCGCCAAGGAAAGGGGTTCCTGTGTGTACGGATTAGGTTTATATAATAAGAAAGGAAGAAGGGACTAGGTATATACAGACTAAGTAAACACTTAGACAGCAAGACTTATATATATACATTGAAATCAACACTCCCTTCTGCAGAATTACCGTTTTAAGTCGTTTTTACAAAACAAGACTTTGACGTAGTCCGTTAAACAATGTTCATATATATGGGAAATTGAAAGTATGATCTCATAAGTAATCTATCAAATCAATCACTTCCTATCAGTTACTGCCCTTTCATAGTCCTTGGCAAAACAAAATACTAGTTCGGAGAACATTAGTATTCCCTTGATGTAGATAGTAGAGCTCACCTTTTGACTGCATGCACATAGCCATAGCACACATAGATACATAACCTGCCTAAAAACGCACAGATAGCGCTGAACCTCTAATGTCATGATGTATTATTGACACTCCAAAATACTTTCTTGAACAAAACAAAACTATATATATTTGACAACATCGCGTCTAAGTACTCGAGTCCCTATTAGAATATGACTGTGGTTCTACGTCACGCCCTTGTGACGTCTGTTTATATACCAGTAATACAGGGTCCATTGTGTACGTGTGCACAACATGCCAGTGATTTTTAAGTAATCTTACAGCGCGCTCTACCTAGATAGGATTAAAAAAGCGTGAAGATGTCAACAAACCTAATTCATACATCGTTAATATATCGTGTACATTGAACAATTAAATCTCGGGAAGTTCATATGTCTGGGTCTACCATTTAAACATCTGTGCGTCAACTAACCATTTAGATGTAAGTATTTAAAGGAACAATAATAGTACTACTATATCTATACGTACTGGTTTGGTCGACAAATTACAGTGAAGGAAAACCTAAATAAAATACGGTTAAACTTTTAACTCATGGAATACCAGGGTTAGACATAATTTAATGTACACGACACAATATTAGTAGTAACACGGCATTATGAAAGAATTAAAACGGGTTAAGAGAACAATGACAAACGCGTGATACCATGCTTCATAGGTAGTGGGTACATGGTAGTATGTGTGTAAAATTAAAGGTGTGCATACTCTTAGGTATATAAAGATATCAAATTTCTACACAAACCTTTTTCTTGTTCCCGTCCCATAAACCTGGGTAAGAAATCGACCGTGAATGACGGTACGTCCAGTGGTAACGGCGGCCGTTTAACCGACACCGGCTGGGGTGAAGGAATGTGTTAGGAACACTAATCCGAATCTGGGGTTCCTCCTCATCTTCTCCGCTCCCATCGTCCCCAGTTGAGGGTACAATCATATCGTCTGCAAAGTCGATCTTCAGTGTTGGAGAACTCATAAACCGAGAACGAGTTCGAGGCCGACGTTTATTGTCGTCTGCTTGCCTGTTTTTCTCGGTTGCTTTCTCCATTTTTCCTGTGGCTTATCAACTTTCTAATCTAGTCTTTGTTCTCAGCTACTTTTAAATAATTGCGTCGTTTTTTATTTAATTATTGTGGGTTGGAGAAGATTATATGTATTGGTAGACGCATAATACCTCACAGAAGACCTTTTAAGGTAACAAAAAAAACTGAACACAACGTCTTCACCACAAAAAAATCCAAATCCAAAAGCAGGTTAATTAAAGTCCATATAAAAATTGACATCTCCTGTTAGTTTGATCTGCTGACAACGGTTCCATGATCCGAATCAGAACGACACATCTCCGGAGTGTCATGCATCCATTGTTTGATGTCCATCCTCCTCTACTATAACATTATATCCAGAAAGGCTCATTTCTTCTCACTTTTATAGTTTGACGAATATTTTAAATGTTTACTCTACATGGTCTCGTCATCAAACATAACAGACCAGTAGCTGCTAGAGTACATCAAGATAGCGATATCACGGCCAGGCACTCGCAGGTCAGTTATCAAAACTGCATGGGTCATTGCGTTTGGCGTTTTACACCTATCCTGGGGGAGCTGAAAGTCTGTTGTATCTGCCCAATTAAACGTATACAGTTAGTCACGGTGGTCAACTCAAGACTTGCGAATATAAACACATTTACATATAGGACAGAACTGAACCGGAATACGTAGATCGAATTCCCTCAGCTTGTAATATCCTAAAACAAAACGCGAGTCGTGGATATATGCAGACATTTCTTTTTTACTTACTGTATCGTTAAGCTAACAAATAGCTTTCGCTGCGACGTGTGTATCAAGTTGTTGTATCGCGACACCAATCCTCAACTTAATGCGTATATCGTATTTCAGAGTAGTAACTGTTTGTGTTGCATAATATTTTACCTGCGGAAAAGATCGTTGACAGTAAAACATGTCAATAAGTGACATTCGACGCCTGCTGACGATACCCCTGATCACGATCCCCTCTTGGGTATTCCCACACCTATCGTTAACTATCCTTGTGTTTCTGTATGTGTAAGGTCGTGAGCTTTTAGACATAGTACGGAAGGTACAATAAGGGAATAGGATTGATGCTTCACTCATCATCAGCATTTGTCTAATATAGCCCACTGCATGTCGAAAGAATCGGGGGTTTATTTCGGTGTCTTCGACTATAAGGGCATTGAATAAACTATTAATGCAACACTTGGTATGCCTTTTCTTTTTTTCTATTACCTACTCTTTCCTTTAGGAGATATCTTCCTAGGAGGCCGTCTCAATATCACCTTACTGTTTCGAGGATATTAAACCATCTCCATATCACCTTACTGTTGCGAGACCGCATTCCTTCCAGGAAAACACAGGTACTTGACGTTTATTTATGTAACAAAAATATGTGTTCCTCTTTCTAAAATCATTTTTTTGTCATATTATGTTTATGTTACTTTTCACCTTTTGTGGGAAAAGGTAACATGTTGAACGGCATCCCATTCAATGTATCAAATTAACAAAAAAAGTAACCTTACATTGATAACCGAATACACATCGCGCAACCCACAGCCTCAACATCCAAAATGGAGTCTGATCGAGATGCCGTTAGAAAGTCCTATAGGCAGCGCCTACAGCAACAACAATCGTAAAAATCACATTTGTAACTGGTTTTCTGAGATGGGTACCACCAAATAACGGTTACCTCGCCGGAACACGTCGTACTTTTTGAAATGCCTCCATGTAAATCTTACCTTCGTACATATTTTGACCTTGGTTTTTTTTCGATTTTGAGTTCGAAACATGGTTTTGTTCACACAATGGTATTCTAAAAATATGATGGATTTTACTCGAGAATATCTACTTTTTGCGCTGATTTAGCTACAATATAATGTTTGTGGCGTTTTATCGTACACCAATGTAATTTGCATACTGTATCTGATATTGTGTTGTGTTTATTACTGTTGTTGTCTTACCCTCTAATTATACAATATGTTTTCACGATACAAACTCCGGAGAGCTTAGGTTAAAGTTCAGTTGACCTCGTACGTTCCGGAGAAGCTTGTTCTAGTCTAAAAGCTTCAATATGATCTTTCCAAAGCTTGAACTCGTTTCTTTTAGAAATTGATCATGTTCTTTCTGACATATCTTCATTGAAAAAAAAGGTTTTGGAAGTAAAACCTGAAGAACATTTCTCATGCATCGTTACTTACAACCCGTCTGTTACAATCCCAGTCCGTGACTGGTACACAACCCGAAAAACTAAGGGAAAATGTGGCTGAGGGGTCGATACAAGCAAGAAACAATTCCGTGGTTTGTGTGTCAATAACGTTTCACTGAAAGCGTTTATGGCGATAGAGATTTTTTTTTCATGTTAACTACTTCATAGAGCACTTCATTAGGAAATACCCTAAACACATTTCGGGGGTTAAGGCTTTTCATTACAAAATTTCAATTTGGGGCGAGTTTAGGGAAGAAATATCACAACCTGCATGATTAAGTATATGAATGATATATTTTTCAATATTTAAAAAAACACGACAATACCAAAATCAGCAAAACCAAAATTCCACTCAAATGCGATAAAACTAGTGTGAAATATGAACAAAGGTAAGATTTACATGGAGACACTTGAAAAGGTGCAAGGTATAAACAAACTATTAGAACTAAATAAAGCTACGATCAGCAAACACATACACACACATCCTGCCTTTGGGGGTCAACGGTTTCCTCCAAACACATTTCCTTTTTTTGAAACTGATGCTAGACACGAAGCTCCACATTTTTCAAAGTTAAGAAAACACACATCAATATTCAAAATCGTGGCATCCGGCATTGAAACATAACATTGTATTTGATATAATGTCTATAATACCCATATGGGTGTTACATGTATAACATACAATTCATCTATAAATGTGTTCTTTCAATTCAAAACTTAGTTACGTATCTGCTTTAAACAACACGCTTTATCTAATTACATAGGATTAACAGGATATATGATGTACGCAAGCAAGTACGTGCCTTTATGTCCATATCATATAAAAAACAATTTAGTTTAGAGGTAGTTTTGTAGCTGAGAATGTTCATGGCCACAAAGTTACTGCTGAGTTTTGATCAAAGATTCCAGCAGTAACTTTGTTGTCATGAAAAGCATGTCTCTTCTCATTCTTCGGTATGTCAGTGTTGGGTTCCCAATTTCTGAAGACGGTCGCTGTAGGATACAGCAGATCCTTCAGCCAAGGTATTATTCCGTTGCCCTTCGCTGTACCTTCTCAATTATTTCAATGCATTTCACTTTGCATGGGTTCCATACACTTGCCGCGTATTCCAGGTGTAGACGGACCAGCGCCTTGAACAACTGTTTACAAGCTACTCCATCCAAATATACAAATGATCTTCCACTAAGTCCCATAATGCTGTTTGTCTTGTTTACTGCCCGTTGAATATAAGGCGAATAATTCATATTCTTAATTATCGATCAATAGTATTTTTTTTAAATGTACAAAATAGTATAGGACCTAGAACACGTCCTTCCGTTTAATACGGGGTGGTCTTTTGGTGGATTTTCATTTACTACTACTCTTTGTTTCCTTAGGTTTAAAAAGTTTTACCTAATTAGTGGCTTAATTAATAATGTGTGTCGTAATTCTTCAGCTTTTCAATTAGTCTTCGGTGTGGAACCTTGTCATTTACAAGCCTTCATGAAATCCATGTAAATGACATCAAATACTTCCCCTCAGTGATCTATAATAATAATATCTAATCTAATATTGCCAAGACCGAATTCTGAATTATTCTAAAAGTCATTTACTGAGACTGGAGCAATGCTGTGGAATAACTTACCGGACAATATTAAAAATACGACCAGTTTGTTCTTTCAAGAAACACCTTAGGCAGCATCTGCTATCTCTGTATTTAAATGAGTAATGTTATTCACACAGGGTTATGTCGTCTCTGGATTAATATCCCCACCCCTATAACTTACACACAAAACAATATGTGATTTTTGAATGATTTGTCATATCTGAATCGTGTCTATTTTAACAACTTGGACATCACTCCACGTGGGTTTGTGTACAAGCTATATATATACATTCTCGTATCAGTGGAGGTAGAAAAATAAGAACGATCACGTGACAAAACATCGAAACAGGAACAAAATGGCGAATCCATTCCTTGACGAAGATGAAATCAGCGGCCCAAAAGGGCCTTCAAATCGCGGGTATGGGGAATTAGAAGACGGACGAAGAAACGTTTTGGAACAAATCAATGCGTCAGAAGATCGACAACTTGAAAGTACCCGGAGAGCTCTGAGTAGTTTATACGATTCTGAAAGGATGGGTGTAGCGACAGCAGAGGTTAGTCATTGGATTCGTGGCTTTTATACATGTATTTCAACATGCAAATTATAGGGGATAATGTATACTAACAACAGTAACACGTCATTTTGATGTTTAGTGAAATACTTAGCTGATTAAATTAGTAGTATTATACTATTACAAAAACCTACCTACTACTATCATTTTAGAATTGTAAAAGGAAGTGACTGTACTAGCTATATGTGTAAAAGATGGTGGAATTTCCCTTAAGATCAGCGGTAGAGCATCGGGGTGGAGAGCCAAGGTTCACAGGTTCGAGCCCAAGCGACAGCACTCTCTTTATCACTAGTACTATTCCTTGTTCTACTACAAACTGGTGCCGTTGACCCTCCCCGTTCAAGTTAGGAGAACGCGGGGAGTCAAAGAACTTCGGTTGGTGTTTGAAAAAAGGGGGAAGTAGTGTAAAAGATGTGCATTCATTAGGTTGCCTTACAAGAGTCACCTGTAGGGAATTTCCCTTTAGCTCAGCAGTAGAGCATCGGGCTGGAAAAGCCAAGGGTCGCAGGTATAAGCCCCAGGGACAGCACTATATCTTTATCATTATTCATGTCCTACTAAACTCTGTATACATGTGCTTCTACTGGGGATTGAGCATTCGATCTCAGAATACTTAGTCGGACGGTCTTCCGATGAGCTAAAGGTAGATTCCCTATAGCGTGAAGCTAGAATGCGACCGTAACCCTATTTACAATTAAAATCTGTCACATTACTCTCCCCATTTGAATGTGTTTACCCTCGACCACCACAACAACCCAGATTCTAACTCACTGTCAGGAAGGGCAACAGACATCTATTGTAACAGAAAGAGAGTTGTGTGCTTCCAACAGGGATCAAACTTGTGATCCCTAGGTGCCCAGTCCACCGCTCTACCACTGAGCTATAATATAAGAGGAAATTCCCTCAAGTGCAAAGGTAGAAGGTGACCATAATTTACTAATAAAATTTGTCACAGAATGAATAATACCTTGCTAAATATATAGTGCTTTGGTAATTTATCATGATTATAAGGCCAGTTTCCCTTGACACTAATACCAGACCAGGGATCGATCTAGACTTGATTCACTAGTCACTACCGTTAATGGGTAGTTTCCCCTACAGAAGAAAATTCCCCTGTTCTTTGAAATTCCCCCATGTGTGCTTCAAAATTCCCCTATTTCAACAAGAAAATAACCGTTTTTTCTTCAAAATATTTCTCCTATACATGTAAATGTTTTCTTGAAAGTTCCACAGTTAAAATGCATAATACTGCATACATTTGTCTATACATTTTCTCCACATAATTTAAACAAAAGTTCTACAATTTTAAGCTTAAAATTGTTAAAAAATTGAAATATACTGCACACATGTATGTCAGACAAAACATTTATCTTTTACATTCATGACGCTAGAGCCTTGTATCAAAATTATAATTTCCCCCAAATCTGAAAAAGTGTAATTTCCCCTATAACCTAGATTGATCCCTGCAGACAGGCGTCTCTCATACAGGTTGGTGAACAGCATTGTTAATTTGTTATTGTTTATCCATTCTTGCAATGATGCATTAATCAAAACAGGAATGCCAACTGGTAACAAAATGTGAACTGATTACTGAGTCAAGTTCAGCTTCTGTAATTTATGTTGAAAACATGCATTTGTCATATTCTGCAATTGACTGACACATATATGCTGTGGTGAGAATTGGTTGGCAACAATGTACATGTAGTACAATCTTAATGTCTTGCATAAAGATAAATAAGACATATGGCACATGATTTCAGATGAATCATCTGCTGGAGCTATTCCGGTTTGATCTATGCAGAATTACCATTGAATCCACCAAAGTGTTTTACCTGTACATGGTGGTGGAGATGGAAATGATTTGCGGCAAAATTAGCAACACTTTTATACTTTCTTTTTCTCTTGCGTACACTACACCTTCACTTTCTTTTCGAAGATTTGTGTATAGGTTTAGTTAGTTTGGTTTTGTATCCAGTAAAATTGAGAAGAGAACTGCTGCTTTCTTGATAACAGCTAATTAGTGTGTGCAGGCCTAGGCATGCACAACAACACCTACCGTATATAGCTAACGGACACTGCCCAGTGGGCGTTGCAGGTCTTATGCACGCATAGGCGGTTTGGGGAATATAAAGCACATTCACAATTTGGTTACTCTGTTTCGGACCAACAAGCAAAAAGATAAGATAGTTAAGGCTCCCGGTTGATCAGGTGATATTTTAGATAAATTAAGTTATATTTCGTGTTGGGGGTAGTATTTACAATGTAGATATAGTTCTGTAGTTGTAAGTTGTAGATTTTCTCTACTGTAAACAAAACTGGTCGTCAGACAAACCTTGTGTTTGTAAATGACTTTTATATTCTAAATAAATATTTCTGTTAGTGTTAGCGAGCTGGAGTCTAGTCTTTTATTCTACTATAAGGCTTGATACGATACTTGCCAAACAATGTAGAGAGTCAGAAAAGTACACTATAGGATCATCGAAGAACGTCAGGCTACACCCGGGGTAGGAATAAACTTATAATAAACCATTCCTCAGTAGAATTTCTTCAAATTTTGTAGTTAAGTTTAACTAAAAGTTTAAGTTAAGTTTGCATTGAAGTAAAGAAAATTTTCTGCACAAAAAAATATATAGGTTGTCAGAATTTTAAGGATTTCAAATGGAAATTTATGTATAAAGGAATGAATTTTGAAAAAAAAAATGAAAGACACAGTTTTTGGCAAAATAATGTCAATAAAAATAATACTGCCATAGATTAGTATTGCATTAACGTATATCAATTTGATAAATGCTGAAACTGTGTAAAATAAATTATCTATAAACAATTAAAAATTGACATTTTATAATAAAACCATATAGACATAGAAATTGCATTTAAGGTAATAGGATTGTGTCGCCATTTCTCAGTAGAATTTATTCAAATTCTGTAGTTATATTGCTTTGAAGTAAAGAAAAAAAATTGCCACAAAAAAGATATAGGTTGTCAGAATTTTAAGGATTTTAAATGGAAATTCATGTAAAAAGGATTGAATTTTGAAAAAAGTCTTGAAACACACATTAATTAATGTCAATAAAAATGATACTAACATAGATTAGTATTGCATTAATGTATATTAATTTCATAAATGCTGAAATTGTGTAAAATTAATCATCTATAAACGATTAAAATTGACATTTTATAATAAAACCATATACACATAGTAACTGCATGCAATGAGTTATCGTTCTTGGAAAACTTCACAGTAGTGAAATAGATAGCCAGTTTCCTGAAGTACAGAAAAATTGACACGTGTGACTCATTGATAAAAAAAACCTGAATTAATGCCTGGATTGCTTTGCAATACTTTAATATTGAAAGACCACACTGTTCTGTCAATAATAAGCATACAATATTCATCAGTTTAATGTTAAACATTAGAATATGCGGAAATTGTGATACTGTCTCCCTACATTGGATTTTCAACTAGGGATGTACTTCCTACTTCTTTTTAGCAATAGACTCCTATGACCTTAAGAGTTATCTTTCTTGAAAAACTTCACAGTAGTGAAATAGGTAGCCGGTTTCCTGAAGTACAGAAAAATGGACACATGTGACTCATTGATAAAAAATAACTGAATTAACGCCTGGATTGCTTTGAAATACTTTAATATTGAGAGAACACACTGTTCTGTCAATAATAAACGTACAACATTCATCACAACTCTAGACTCATTAGAATATGCGGAAATTGTGATACTGTCTCCCTGCATTGGATTTTCAACTAGGGATGTACTTCCTACTTCTGTTTATCAATACACTCATTCGACCTTAAGTTGCTTGAAAGTGAAGTACATAAATCATTGTCAATTGCAGAATATTTTAGTGTTACAAAAAATGTTGCATTGCACCATACATATATGGCATTCATTTGATCTGCACTACAGTATTGAGTACATTGTATAAGATTTATTTCAAGACATTTTACAGTGTTTTTCTCTAGATGCATAATGTAATCGAGACCTCTCACTCTCAGCCCTATACATAAAATTAACAATCCCCAACCCCTTTAATCAATCCAGGATAAAAAAGTTTGTCAACTCCTTCTAAAGTAATAGACCCTTTTCAACAAAAGATTCCAGATGTCATAACTACCACCTGAAGTTGTGAATCCAGGTATTATTTTTTTCATTCTGACCCTTTTCTACCAAGATATGGCCATTTGTTGAAAAATTCCTGAAGCTTTTTGTTTGGCCTAATTTCAAAGAAAGTTTCCAGATATGATAACTACCACCTGTTGTGCATACAGGTATTAATACTATTATTTTTTCCATCTGACCTTCTTTTAAAAAGTTATTGCCCTTTGTTGAAAAATCCTTGTTCGGACAATTCCTCCAAAACTAAAGGTCCAATAACAATGAAAGTTTTCAGATACAATAACTACCAGCTGATGTTATGCTTCTAGGTATTAATTTTTTCATCTGACACTTTTTTTTACGGAGTAATGGTCCCTTGTTGAAAAATCCTTGTCCAGACAGCTCCTCTAAAACTATGGGTCTAATTTCAAAGAAAGTTTACAGATTAATTTTTTCATTCCGACCCTTTTAAAAGGAGTAATAGCCCTTTGTTGAATAAACCTTTGTCTGCCTCCTAAACTGCACGGACGATTTTGATGAAAGTTTACAGATATGGTAATAAGCCCCTGATATCGTGCATCAAGGAAGTATTTTTTTTATTTTGACCCTTTGAGTTTTGGTCCTTTGCTAAATATCTTTGCCCTAACAACTCTTCCTTAACTACTAGGACGACTTCAGCGAAACTTGTTCATCTTGGCTAACAAGAGTATGCAAGTATGTTTTGGCATGGGGAGGGAGTACAGGAACTTAGTCATTGACCTGTACACTTAAACAAGTGTACAGCTCAGTATATAGAAAAATTATTACTGGTGGGAGACTATGGATTATTTGCAATGCTTTGCCTTAGTTAGCCTTTAGCTTACAGTTCTGGTCTATATAGGGAGGGGGTGGGGGTATTAGGTAGCTTTTGGCTTATAATTACAGTTCTGGTTTATATGGGGCAGAAGGTAGCTTTTGGCTTATAATTACAGTTCTGGTTTTTATGGGGGGGGGGGGGGGAGGTAGCTTTGGCTTACAGTTCAGGTTTATGGGGTGTGGGTGTGTGTTAGGTAGCTTTGGCTTACAGTTCAGGTTTATAGGGGAGGGGGGGGGGGGGTTAGGTAGCTGGGGCTTACAGTTCAGGGTTATAAGGGGGGGTGTTAGGTAGCTGTGGCTTACAGTTCAGGGTTATAAGGGGGGGAGTTAGGTAGCTGTGGCTTACAGTTCAGGGTTATAAGGGGGGGTGTTAGGTAGCTGTGGCTTACAGTTCTAGTTGCATTTATTTTATGAATGTTGTGTAGTGCAGGAGGGATAACTCTCTGTAAGTGAATTGTCTCCCTTACATGAGGGCAAGACTCAAACCCCCTTCAATTACAACAACAACAAAAAAATATTGTGATGTAGATTGTTAAATAATGAAGCCAGTAATACTGTACATCAAATTTGAACTTTTCAAATCTGTAATACTGTTACATTTGCAGTTGTTGTTTAAGCCTTAAAAACTAGAACTGTGTCAATACTGACTTCCAATCTTTGACTTGTATCAGAGGTTTTTTTGCTAATTTTGCTTTTAAAAAAATTGTTCTGTACTGATTTTTTTTTTGTTCTGTACTGATTTTTTTTTTTATATTTTTGGTTTCAGGAACTTACACGTCAAGGCGAACAGCTTAATAACATAGAAGGTAAAGTGACAGATATTGATAAAAATATGACAACCACTCAGAAACATTTGAATTCCATAAAAAGTGTTTTTGGAGGAATAAAGAACTGGTGGTCTACGAAGAAAGAGGATCCTTCTCGACCTGAAGACGAGACGTCTACCCGGCTAAAGGTGGCCATGGAAAATCAGGGCGCCCCTTTGGGAGCTGAAGCAGGGCGAAGGAGGCCAGATACATCTGGGTTTGGAGATGAAGACGAACTTGACAGTCAATTCATGGCAGGGTCAAGGAAATCCGTTTCAAGTCAAGGTTATGGACAGGCATCAGGACAACAGATTCTACAGCCTGTTACTGGTAGTAGTCGGGAAGAGGAAACAAACGACAATCTAGGTACGCCATCAATATCAGACTGGCTATCCAGTTTTGATGGGAACTATAAAATTATAAATAATTTTAGGACTGACCTCTTTGATGTATCTTTTATAATTCTCGAGGTCCCAGCACTTTTGTGTTTCATTTTGATATACAGTATATGGGGACAATATGAATGTAAACACTGTATTCTAAGTCTACCAATATTGAGAAAAAGATATCTACATATGTTTTACTTTGCATAGAATTTTTTATTGTAAGTAATTGTAAATATGCTGGTGTTAATATTTGAAAAAATATTACTCGTTATAAAATAAATCTATGAATCTTTGCATATACTTTCCAAACAATTTCAGGGTTGATGTCCGACGGAATGAGTCGTCTGAAGGACCTGGCACTAGGACTAGGAGACGAAATTTCTCGTCAAAATGATCAGTTAGATCGCATTGCTCCTAAAGTTGACAATGTGAACGTGAAAGTAGAAGATCAGAACAGACAGATGAGAAGGATTCTGCATAAATAAGGAGTATCCAGTAGGGGTGTCGCAATACGCCTAGAGTGAATCACGACATATTGTGACAGCCCTAGTGTCTAGTATGGGTGTCACAATACGCCTAGAGTGAATCACGATACGCCTAGAGTGTATCACAATACGCCTAGAGTGAATCACGACATATTGTGACAGCCCTAGTGTCCAGTAGGGGTGTCACAATACGCCTAGAGTGAATCACGATACGCCTAGAGTGTATCACAATACGCCTAGAGTGAATCACGACATATTGTGACAGCCCTAGTGCCCAGTATAATTGTGTAGCAGCAAGTTTTGTTTTCTGTGACATTTTGTATGTGTACAGTTTAACTGCTGTTAGTAGTGATGGTGAGGAAAATAGATTTTCTGTGTTTTAAGTGGCTAAGTGTTAAAGCCATTCAATAAGAATGTTTTGTTTGCGGTTTCCCTACTACCGTAAACAAGAGGTGTGTGCTTCTTAGGTCAAATACGGTAACCTTTTTCCCAGTGAGGAGGAGGTAGGGATTTTTTTGTTTATTTCCAGAAATATTATGTTTAAACACCAACTATCAGTGAGTTTTCAGCAAAAAACAAAACAAAACAAAAAATTCGGTTGTTTTCATTAATGTTGATAGTTATGTGAGCAGCAGGTCAATTAAAGAAGTGCATGTACAGTATAGGGAATAGAAATACCCCAGGTGTGTCTAGTCATCTGTGCTATGTCACATGTCATCTACAGTAATCACATTGTAATCTGATCACAATAGTGTCATTTTATTAACTGTTACTGTATCATCACAGTTGAAAAATGTGTGTATTGTACATATGTTCCCACATCTTTTCATCAAAACATTCAAGTTGCAGAACACTATTTAATAGTGCAACTCGATGAAGGTTGCTTAGTTTAATTTAAAAATTTCAGCACAATGTATTGCAAAGATATTTCTTTTTTTAGTTTTCTGACTTTTCAATTTTGCTGTTTTATAAGTTTTTGCAATCTGTACAGTGAATTTCTAAAGAGCGTAACCTGCTATACAGTATAAAACTATTTTCTATGTGTCTTGTGGTAAGAAAGTCCTCCACACATATATTTTAGTTATAGGTTTCTGTGAAATATCTTGATGAAATGCTGTGTTAATTTGTCCTTTTATTAATTAGCTTATTTGAACCTTAAGTCATTCCTTTGATGTTCATGACTGAAATATTTGCACTCATTACAGGTGATACAGTGTATTTGTTGTTTAACTCATCGACCCCTGGAGACACATTTGAGCTCTTCCAATTCAAAGGTTGGAATGGTTCATTATAAAATTTCAGGGGTGAATGAGTTAAGAAGCTGTTATACCCATTCTCCTTTTTAAGAAGCAAGTTGTATCCAAAATGACCAGTTTAACTTTGTTTTTTAGTTTGAAATATTTCTGATATCCCCCTCCCTGATCCCCCTCCTTAAATACACAACCTTTATATTGATATCATTGATTCTTTAAACACCTTGATATTCAAGAAAAGTTGTGATAATTACTTGTCACCAAGAGACTAGATTAGTCATAATCAAGACATTTCCTCATATGTCTCCGACACAAAAACTCACAAATGAATTTCACATATTTGTGTGTAATATTTTGTAGTTTACTGTACATGTAGCTGGGTATAGCATTTATTTGGCCTGTGATTTAGCTAGTTAGTCTGCAAAGATCTGAGTTAGGTTTGTTATGGGAGATAGCTACATATATATTCCGACTTGCATTTAACGACTACATCTATCTACTGGTACAAATGTACCCAGAATCCTCAGTATTCTGGACTGTTGTTGTATATATTTGTGTTGTTTATACATAACACTAGTCTGACCACCTACACAGTAAAACCTTGGTATATTGCCTTGTCCAGTAACTGTTTTGTATTTTAACTCATTCACCCCCTGAAATTTCATAATGAACTATTCCAACCTTTGAATTGGAAGAGTTCAAATGTGTCTTCAGGGGTGAATGAGTTAAGGATCCTTGTACCATTAATTGTCAAAAACTAACCACACATTGGAAACTGTTTTTTCAAACACGACTATAGCTTTGATAAATCATTTCTGAAAAGAAAACCATACCTTGGGGGACTTCAATAAAAATATGATAAGGATGACACGAACGAAGTGTTATATAATCAGCAAGTGTTCGGAGAAGAGCGGGATTAGACTGGGATTTGAACCCTAGACCTCAGATTGTTATACTAGTGCTCTAACGAACAGAGCTGCCTGGTCAACAGAAGTGGCCTGGCCAAACTGCTACAGGTATATCCCAAACGACGTTAACAGAAGGTTATCATAAATATGTATATGAAAACCCACAGATCAGTGGGACAGAGATCCTTTAAATGGGTTTGACAATGCATATCAGGGCTGATACATCAAATGTAAAGGAATGGTACAGAGGACCTTGATATATATTTTTGCAGTAAATGAGATGGAAAACAAAGTTAATGGCATTATATAATGGTTTTACTGTTACATTGATATCAATAGAGATTTTTCAGGTCAGGTTTTAATCTGACAATCTGGAGTATCTCTTTTCACATTCATTTGGTGTACTTGATAATGTTGTTTAAATCTATTGTGCTATTGTTATATTTTAGTGGATATTTATAATCTGTATTGAGGATGGTGCTGATATACTCACCATTGAATGCACTAGATACTTAGCAGTGGTTTAACTGTGTAGGGCTGTAGACATACATTAATATATATTTAAAGTGGGTTCTCGCTAATTTTTGGAATTTTGAAAAATTGTATAAATTATGTATTTTCTTTTCATGATCTACTGAATTCAAAATAATAAGCTAGAAATTGAAGTAGATATATATGTATCAGTGGCAATTTCATGTTTTGATACACTTCAGAACCCATTGTATTGGGTTGTAAGCTGCACCAGGGCTTTACAATTTCTATGTGTAGATACAGAACAAGTCCACTTTCAAATATGAGTGACAAATTGTTTGTCTGAACTTTAACGGATTCAGCCAATATTCACAAAAACATAGTTCATTTAATTGTTAGGTTATGCATAGCAATTTACAACTGGCACAAGCTAAGTGAAGATGGTTGATTTATTCTGGTACTGACTTTCAGATCTGACTTCATTGGTGCTTTTACTTGGAATATCGGAAATTCATTGATAACAGAAACATTACCTTAATTCTTCATGGCAAATGTTTATGGAAAACAGTGGAGCCCTTCTTAAATATACCTTATGTAGGTGTGTGTTTGTTTTCTGTTTGTGTATAGTTTAACCATTTCCTCTGACTCTAATATTCTCATTCCACAATTTATTATGAATAATTTTTGTTCATGATATTAAAAATAGAATCTAACCAGGAGTACTAGAAAATAAACATCACTGTACATTGAAACTGTTTTCTACAGGATAGAATGTTTCTATATATGTGGACATGTGTATAGTACAGATGGTGCAGAAATAATGGAATAACAGTACAAGGGACTGTACACATTGAGTAGAACTATTGAGAGTTAATTCCCCTTGTGAGTGATCATCTCTCTAATGTTAAATATTTAAGCCTTCCCATCGATAGTCACATCAAAGATAGTTCATTTCATTTTAAAAGATTTCTGATAATGAGATAGTGTTTGATAGTGGTTGAATGTACTTGTTATTTGTATGTGAGACTAGTTTGATTGTTTATATTTTACATGTATGATACACTGTATGTAGCAGAACACTGACGATAGGTAAACTGACTTTATACAGTTATAAAACGTATGTTGATCCACATTTAATGAATCTGATCTGAGCACAAACTTTAGCTTTGAATTTAAGTTGTATCATTGATCACCCTGATGATTTAAGATCATTTTCTTTTTTGGAAATGAAATATCATGAAGAGTAGAATTAAATCTACTAAAACCAGTTTGATTCCCTGATTTTTAACGGACATTATATTTGGCATGCAGGTACATGCAACCCTACATATTGTAACCCAGGAAATGTTCACCCTAGTTTAACCTTTGCCTTTCTCGCCTCTGTTATAGTAATGAGGGCATATTTATCATGATCATGATGATGGTGAAAAAAGTACATATTATAATATACATAGTACAGTACTTTTCATGTAATATCACATTGCTTAATGTCATATTTTGGTTATTACCATGTTTTCTTGATCCACCTAGATGATAACATATAGATGCAAAAAATAAGACTGCATGCAAATGTGTTGTACAAGTGAAGGGGTATAATTTGACTAGGTGAAAATTTCACAGAATACAGTATGTACATGTTTAGAAGGTGCTGTCATACAACCAAAATCTTAAAGTGACCTCAATTTGACCTTTATTCTGGGATTCATAGATACAGGTTTCCAAAGTACATCGCCGCCACTGTTTCATGTATGACGTGAGACTTGGTTGGTAGGAACATCTGGAGGAGGTACTACATCACATACCAAATTAACATCATTGTCACCTCGGTTAAATTTTGACACATGTGACCTCCGATGCAGAAATCTTAAGGTGTTTTTGGAGCAAGTAACAACACCTGGTATGGGATCACTGCAGCCTACAGTACATAATGATTTCTTGATAAAAAAATTGGGGTAAGAAAGTGACCATGAAACCATGGTGTGGAGTTAAATCCAGTTTCTCTGGGTCTTGCACTAAATTCAAATAATTTAAGCACTGTTACAAAAAATTAGCATAAATTTGTGTTTTATTATTTTGTTTTGTTCTGTTATTTAGTACTTAATGGTTTTATCATTGTTTGTGCAATCAAATCTGTAATATATGTCTATGACCATCCTTACTGTCATGTATATGTATAGAATTGATACACATTGTTTATTTATACCGTCATGAGATAAAAAAAAACAATTTATTATAAATACAGGTGTTTTATGTAAAACAATCTTGTTCTTGGTTTTTTTAGTAGTTTTGACACCTACAAGCAATATGACTTTTCAGACAATGTACAGTATTCTTTTTTTTCCCTTCAAATATCTGGATTTAAATGCTAACATTTGAATAGACCTTTTCTGTGATAAATAGATCATACAAAATTCCAGTCAAACATCTTTGTGAATATTCCTTTTCAATAAAATAAAAACAAAGTCTTGTTGGTGTTCCTAGAAAAAACACAAAATCTGTTCAAGTTTACCCAATGTGATGCTGTATGGTTAATAATAAATGCAAAGTGTGTAAAAAAAATATCCATGTCATTTAATTTTTAGCTCTCAAAGACCTGTACAGGTGCTGTTTTAAGATGATTTCCAAAATGACCTGTCCTGTGATTGGTATAGAGACCTTTTTACATATACATGTATATATCCAGCAATATGCCTGGTACATATTGTCACATACCAACAAAATCTACAGTTTCAATAACTCCATATCCAACTTTTGATCAGAAATTTCATAATGTCCCCCTTCATCAAAACTTGGATGAAATGTGATTTGATAGGATCACCATCTTAGGATAGTGGGATAAAATTATGAAATCACACAGGAATGGTTTGAATATCATTTTATTTATTACAAAAATATTTAGAATTTTATAATGACATTACTCAATCTCAACACTCTTCAATTTTCCTGTGCACTTCTGTATACAATAATATTGTAAAAGTTTTCCTTTAAAAGTCCATTCAAACGAACAAAAGGTCGATTTTCAATAAAAAAAAAAGGCTCTTGAAATATCCTGTCGAAAGGATACAATAAAGGATACACTAGCTGATTGTCAAAATTATTGCTAAAGAAAAGTTGATATTGTAAACACTATTATTCCTTCGAAAGAAAAATATAGATCTATAACACATTAATGTTTAATTAAATGTACAACAAAGACATGACTTTATTTTGGTGCTTTACCGCTTTTAGACATTCATAAATCAACTTTATTCTTTTTTTGAAACTATTTAATAGACATTACATTTTAAAGTGGAAAAGAAACTTGTGTACTGTACATAAACTAGGCCAACAGAACAGTAATGATAATTAATAATTATAACAATTTGAGGTTCTTACATACCGCTTTATCACAACCTAGTTCGTAGGTCGTCTCAAAGCGGTTCACAAACTATTATCCATGGTTATAGGGCTTTTGCAACCAGCCAACATCTTTATCAACTCCCTGGGGAGCATACAGTCGGTGCTGCTATTTCGGCGCTCACAGCTAGCATTCTACAATTCTAGCACTGCCCAACCACATACTCATTTGCAGCTGAGTAGACTGGAACAAGCAGAGTAA